AATTAAGATTTTTGCACTGCATCCAATTTTTAAAATGAAGAAAGGAGTGTGTTGCCAGGACCCAGCCATCTGGCAGCTGACCCCCGGGGTTCTTTTTCACAGCCGTGTAATATTCCACTGTTTCTCCAGTTGCTACTGAGGAAACATTAACGTTCTGTTAAAGTCTTAACAGCCATCTTGTTAATGTGCTGCCTTTAAAGAATCATTGGTGTTGCTCCTTTTAAGCAACTCGCCTCTCTGTTCCCTCTTACTTCCCCAAATCTTGGGGATCGCTGGGAGTGGGGGTGAAGTTGGGACACTTTGGGGCCTGGCTACCCCTGAGGAGCGCTCTCCGACCCAAGGCCATCGGCTGCCCTGTTGCCCCTGCAGCTGCTTATAAACCAGCTATTTATAGCCCCACCCCGCCCCCAGCCCATGTCACTGCCCACTTCCTTGGGGCCACCAGTGAGCTCAATGCTGATGGGGAAGAGGAAGTGGGTTGCTGGGGTTTGTTTAGGGTTTGAGGGTGCCCTTACAGTTTCCTGAAGGCCTTCATTTCCCAGAAGCTGAGAACACTGAGGTGATAGCTCAACCTACTTTTCTTACCTCAGTCAGTTTGGGGTGAGGGAGGAGGTGGAACAGGGCGCGGGGACCCTGTGCCCTGTCCTTGGCCCTAAACGCAGCCCTCTAAGGCATCACAGCTTCCTGCTTCACTTCTCATTGGCTTTGAGCTCCTCCTCCACATCTTCCTCTATCCCCCATTCAAATGGGGTACAAAGTGCCCCTGAGACCCCCATAGCCCCAGCCCCTGGAGACTGAGAGGCCTGGGCAGTCTTGGGGGCCTGGGCTAAATAGGCGCTTGTGCAGTGCTCCCCAGCACTCTGCCCCAGGGCCGTGGCCCCAAATAGCTCAGCTTCTATATTTAGAAGTTTGCTCAGCAGTGCCAGGGAACTATAACTATGGCCCAGCTCTGCTGTTGCCTCCCAACTCCCCAGGCTGGGCCAGGCCAGGTGGGGGCCAGGGCTTAGGAGGATGCCAGCTGGGCCAGGGCTGAGTCTGCACCAGGAGTCCCTGGTCAGGTGGATTCTGGAGGCCTGGCCTCAAGGGAACCCAGGTGTCCAGCCTGCAGGAGGAGACAATGGGCCCATTGTTGGGCCTTTCCCCAGGTTGAAGGCCATCAGTCTCTGGCCTCCCACCCCCTTCCCTCACTCCATGGGGTTTCCTGGCGCAGGGACAGCTGTCTGGCCTCACAATAGCTGTGCCGTCCTCCTGGAGCCAGCAGCTGGGCTCATCCGCGTGGGGGCTGGCCCGGCCCCTTCCTCTGCCATTGTCTCCCTTCCAGGGGGCTTCCTGTTGTGCCCCCTCTACCCGAAGACCCCATCTGACCCCCTCTCTCAGCCTGGGCTTGCGAGGGTGCTGGGCATGGGCTGATGGCACAAGAAGCCAGGGGGCAGGACACTGGGGTCCCCTCATCTCCCTCCCCACCACAGAGGACAGCAAAGAAAAGGGTATCATCCTAAGAGCCACTGCTGTAGTTCACTGAGTGTCTATTCTCAGCTACATCCCTGCAATCCACTCACTCTCTTATGATCTTCACCAGCCCTGCTGCGAGGTTCTGACCATTTCACAGATGGGGAAACTGAGGCCCAGAGAGGCCACATCACCCACCCAAGACCACACAGTCGGAAACATAGGGAATTCCCTGGCAGTCCAGTGGTTAGGACTCCATCCTTCCACTGCAGGGGGCATGGGTTCGATCCTTGGTCGGGGAACTAAGGTCCCAAAAGCCATGAGGCGCGGCCAAAAAAAAAAAAAAAAGGTACATGAGCTCCCACAGCACCACTCTCATTTATTATTAAATAGATTTTAAAAAAAATAAAAAGAGGAAGAGACTGGGTTTGCCCAGGACCTCTGATATGAGATGGTGGTGCCCTGTGACTGTGCATGTCATTTTACTACTCTGTGCCTCAGTTTCCCCATCTGCCAAATGGAAATCACAGCACCTGCCTTCTAGGCTACTGGGAAGATAAGTGAGTTCAATCCCTGCAAAATGATTAGAGGGCAGCCAGGCATACAGTGGGCGCTGGATGAATACTGTCATCCACTGTGATGATGTGTTACCATGGCAGCTATAATAATAAAAATAAAAATATAATATAATAAATAATGCTACCATTATGATTGGCTGACTAGTCCTGGATCTGCTACTTCCTAGCTGAGGAATCTCAGGCCAGTGGCCCAAGCCCCCAGGTGCTGGTTTCCCATCTGAAAAACAGGGATGCATGTCCCTGCCTCACAGAGGTCTGTTGTGGAACAGAGGTCTCGAGATTGTCCAGGGCTTCGGGGCTGGAACTTCAGGGCAAAGGAGAGGGGGAGAAACACTGTGACACCTCAGCAGGGGCAAGATAATGAAGCCTGTAGTGGGCTTCCTTCAGTGGAGGGCAGTATTACTAATCATGCAGCCCTACTGGGTGCAGGCTTTGCTCTGGTTCTACAGAGACACAAATGGACCAAAGTCCTGTCCTCCAGGCTGACAGTCTAGGGGGGCTGGGGGGCACACAGTAAACAAATTAAGTAGGTCAATTTCGTGATGGGGGAATGGTGAAGGGCTACAGAGAACTGAGAAAGTAGGGAATATTCGGAGGATTACATTTATGACGTGGGGACGGGGGGGTGGGGGGTTGGTCAGGGAATGTTTGGGCAAAAACATGAAGGGGAGGAGGGAGCGAGCCATGAGGTTATCTAGTTCTCTGGGTAAAAGTGCTCCAGGCAGAGGCAACAGCCTGTGCAAAGGCCCTGAGGTCACCCCATGCCTGGTGTTTTCCATAAGGAAAACTGTAGCCAAGCTACTGAGGAGAGAGTGGGAGGAGGTGAGGGCAGGGAGGTGACAGCAGAGCAGGCCGGGCCTTATGGGCCGAGGAAGGACTTGGGGTTTTACTCTGAGTGAGGTGGGAGCCATGGAGGGTGCTTGAGCAGAGGAGGGATGAGATCTGACTCAGGTGTTCCCAGGCACCCTTGGGCCCCTTGGAGGGGAAAGGAGTGGGGGGGGGGGATGCCCCTCTTCGTGCCTTCCCCAGTCCTCCTCTCCTATATCACTGGTTCCTTCCTTAACCTGCTCTGTGAGGCCAGTAGGCAGGAATTAAAATCCAATTCACCAGAAAGGAAAACTGAGTCCCAGGATGGTTAGACCTGCTCCAAGGGCCCAAGACACATCCCTGGGGGAAGAGAAGGCATGATTGCAACCCTTGGGCAGTGGCTCCCCCAGGCTGGAACCCCTCCCCCCCAGCTTTTTCAAGCACCAGCTGTCAGACCTGTGGGCCTGTTGTGGCGGGGGAGGTGGGGGCATGTCCAGCCCTGGAATTTCCAGCTTTAAGGGGAAAAAGCCAAAAATCCACCTTGGGCCTGCTCTGGCCACCTCCCCTCCCCCTGAGGAAACTGAGGCACAGAGAGACCTCAGTTACCCTGACGGGACCCCTTTCCATGCCCTGTCCAGGTCAAAGGGACAGGAAGAGCAGGAAGGGGTTAATTTTAGGACTGGGGCTGCTCCACCATCCCTGGGATAATGCTTCTCTGCCTTTGGCCATGAGTGACCTTTTTTTCCATGACTGCAGTCCTAACCTTTTAAACTACTATGTACTTAATATTTTATTTAATTTTCTAAGCTGCTGCATCCTTGAATCCATTCATTTAAAAAAGAATCTTTACATTGACGTCCTGATTGGGAAACCGTTCTCATTGCCTCAAATAGTCTGTAAATTTACAAATAAATAAGAACACAAGGAACATAAAACCATGGATTCTAGCTGGATAGACCTCAGGGCCACCAAGGTGTTAGCACCCAATAGAGACTTTCTCCTGGACCTTGGGCTCTTTGCAGGGACCTGGGGACTGAACTGCCTACCTGTGGATCTCTGCTTAGCCACTTGTTACCTGCACCTCAGTTTCCCCCTTCTGCAAAATGGGAATCATAGCAACACCTGCCTCGAAGGTATTTCGAGGAGTAAATGAGTTAAAATAGATAAAGTGATAACTGTAGGCAAATCAGGCCTGGCTCAGATTAAGTGCTTTCTAAATAATCGTGTTTTTTAAAACAAATGATCAGAAGGCTTGAGAGAAACCAGTCATATGACTTATTTGAAAAGGAAACAACTCTCCTATCATGTGATTCTCTGTTGATTAGTGCAGTGCCCAGGAATGC